CAAATTGAAGACTGGTGGGAGTGGTGGGGAAGAGGGGGAGATGGGTATAAACTATTTGTAAAAAAAAAAAAAAAAAAAAAAGGCCAGGGATCCAGAAAGGGCTACTGGTCATGAAACAGGGCCCAGGAAGAGAGGAACATCTGCGTGTGGTGTGGGGCAGAGGTTTGTCTGCAGGAAGGAGACCCCAAGCCTGCACTGCTTGTGGGTGAGGAGGCTGTATACACACCACCCAGGCTCTGGGAACCCTGAGCCAAGAGGTTCACACCAAACTGGCCGGGCCTCTGGAACTCGGGGTCCTGGCAGAACAAATGCCAAAGTGATGAAAACACACATCCATGGCCCATCGGTTCCCACATTGGAAACAACCCCTGCTTAAGACAGTCTCCTGATACAGAATGAAACACCACCACGAACCATCATGAAGGTGAGGCTTCAGACCCAACGTGTGGGAGAATCAGTACCCTTAAAACTAGAAATAATCGAATACTTGAAAGAGGCAATAAGGATAAACAAATGAAGAGATGAAAGGCACAGAAACCATAATAAAACCTAGGATACTAAAAAACAAAAAATAAAAAACAACAGGCTGATTTTTTTTTTTAATTTTTTTATGTTTTATTTATTTCTAGGAGAGAGAGAGAGAGACAGCGTGAGCAGGAGAGGGTCAGAGAGAGGGAGTCACAGGCTGAAACAGGCTCCAGGCTCTGAGCTGGCAGTCAACACAGAGCCCGACGCGGGGCTCGAACCCACGAACCGCGAGATCATGACCTAAGCGAAAGTCGGACGCTTAACCGACTGAGCCACCCAGGCGCCCCACAACAGGCTGATTTTTAAAAGCTCTGAATAGAATTTCTAAAAATTAAAAATAAAAATGAAACCGAATTTGGAAGGCGTCTTAAATGGCTGATTATGAAGAGCTACAAGGAGACTGGTAAACTCACGGATGTTTTCGAGAAGTGCCAGAATACAGCACTGGCAGAAAAGGAGATGTGAAAAAGAGAGGAAAGACAGAATAATATGGCAGGCTTCTCACCCGAGTTCTAGAAGGAGAGGCTGGAGAGAATCAAGGAGATAGCAGAGAAGAGTTCCTGAATGGAAAGAATGACACTGAATCCCCAGCAACACAGTAAAGACCAATCTACTCTTAGACTGAACGCAGTAAAACTGCGGAACCCCGAAGACAAAAATAAGGTCTCAAAAGCGACCAGAACAAAAAGCTGCAAAGGAGACAGGCACCTGTGTGGTGCTCCGAAGTCCCACAGCACTTGACTAACCACCCCCTGCCCATCACTGGTGGGGCTGCCATGCGGTCTGCTGCTTACACAAACCCCTCGAGGTGGTGGGGCAGGACCAAGTCACCCCGTTCGTGCCTGGTGCCTAGCACTACACGTGGTATGCAGCAGGGGCCTAAGGAATGCATAACTGAGCTCTCATGAAGCACTTATGCGCCCTTTTGGGTCTGTTCTGTTCCGTGAAAAGACCTCCAAACCCCAGTTTGAGAAACACAACTGCCAATCAGTCCCGGATTCACTGGATTGCATATTAAAGGCAGTGAAACTTTCTGCAACAGGAAAAAAGAAGGTGGTCCTCAGGTCCATAGTGGTGACTGGTAGCACCTGTGGGGGTCAGGATGGAGGATGGAGGGGAGGCTTCACACCTCTTAGGGGCAGCTTTGAACAGCTTCTGGGAGGTTGATGGGATAATCTGAGTGAAGAGCTTTACTCATCTAACCTCAGGCACAATAGGACAGCTTCTTTTTCCTGATAACCTCGGAGCTTTGGGAATGTTTATGAGAACTATGCCCTGCAGCTCAAGAAGAAGCAGGGTCCAAGTCTGGCCAGATATGGACAAGTCTCAGGGCCTGTCCTCCTTGGAGTCCCGTGGCAAGTATGAGTCCCTTTATGCAGATGGAGAACGGGATGACATCAAGCCCCAGATTGGGGCTACCAGGATGTTCCAGAGAAGGAGGCTGATAAGAGTGTCCAGAGAAAATAAAAGCAGAGTGCTTATTTTCAAGGGCCACTCCATTAAAAAATTTTTTTTTAAATGTTTATGTATTTATTTTGAGAGAGAGAACATGAGTACAAGCGAGCAGGGGAGGGGTGGAGAGAGAGACAGAGAGGGAGAGAGAATCCCAGGCAGGCTCTGCACTGTGCGGAGCCCAACGTGGGGCTCCATCTCATGAACTGAACCGTGAGATCACGATCAGAGCCAGAATCAAGAGTCGGATGTTAAACCGACCGAGCCACCCAGGTGCCCCAGGGCTGCTCCATTTGAAAGGAAATACCACGGGGAGAAATGTCCTACAGCCTCCAGACTCACAGCGCCTTTTTCACAGACAGACTGAATTTGGCAGAGAGGAATACTAAAATGACTATGAATTATACTGTGGGGCATTCCCACATAGAAGTAGTAGTTTCAATAATTAATTGTACCAAACAAATCTCCAGACACCAAGCTAATTTCTTTCACATACAGCACCTCATCTCTCTGCTGCTCTAGCCTTCATGTTACTGCCTGAGGCAACATGGGCCCCTCAGGGCGTGGGGCGAAATATCCTCACTTCCTGAACACCACTGTTATGCCAACAGCGGGATTGAGGCACTCTAGGGGAAATGACGCTAAAAGTGAACAGAGAAACACAGGGCAGGGCCTAGGGGAGAGGAGAAAGTCACAGTCAAGTTCTACATGGGATTCTACATGCTTCAACTCACAAATCACGCATGGGGAGAGGAGTCTGACTTTAGACAGAGTGCGTTGCACAGAGCCGAGGGCTGTCAAAGACATGTGCGCCAGCCCCTTCCCTACCCAGTACTCTGTTAACTGTAGCCACAGCTCGTGGACGCGGCCCTGCTGGCACTGGGAAAAGAGAACAGGATGGAAGTCATGACATATACTTTCTGTTTGGGGAGGAGAGGCAATTGACACTTCCTGTGGCCACTTTATATGACAGGCTGTGATGATGTCTTTACCATGTCATTCCAGGCCCCAGGACGATCATTCCCCCAGTTATGGCAGAAGGTATCATTAGTTCCACTGTTCTCAACAGAACCGGAGGCTGAGACCTTAAGAGATTTGTCCACAAATTGAGAATGAACCCCTCAGACTGCCTCCAAGACAAACCGGACAGACTCGCAGAGAGGCGTCGCTAGACATTTGATGGCCACAGTTCCCTGGGTCATGGCTGCTATCTGCTTTCCTACACAAATGCTTTCTTTTACACATCTCAGGGGGCCAAAGCTGATCAATATTTACACCCCCTAAATTCTCCTCTTTCATGTTGACTCTGAAAATATGCTAGGAGTTGGGGATTAGGCCAAGAAACAGAACTAGGCCATTTTCTCCTCTCTGCTCCAAACACTCCCACAGTTGTGGCTGTCAATGCACCTTTGAGTTGCTAAGACATGACCTTAAAGGAAGGAAGGCCAGTGTCATCCTCCTGCTGGACAAAAATGCTGCCAATCTTTTTCCCAAAGAGGAGGAAGTCAGGCCAGAAGCGGAGTCTGTGAATCTTCTGGGCCAAGAGATGGGTGTGCATGGACGAGGCTGCCACCCAGCAAGCACCGGCCCGGGGGGCACAGGCTGGCATGGACAGCAGCGTATGGCTGACATTTCTCTTACTCCCCGGCGACGCTCACACCTGCCACCAAGGGGCTCATTTCAGTTGTCCCCACCAGTCCCTGGACCCGAGAAGCCCAGCCCCACTTCTCTGATGAATGAACCACTGTGAAAAGCTGTGATGGTATTTCTGACAAAATGGCCTAGAAACCCTAGGACTCCAGAAACTGCCATCCAGGATGGCAAACGGTGGGGTAGAAAGTGCTTGGTCAACCTTTCCTAAATGATGAACTTGGTAGGAACTGAGGGGGTGGCATCCTCTAAAGATAAATCACAAGCAAGAATAATGCCTTGACAGCAACGCGAACAGAGAGTTGGTCATGAAGGCACCCGGTAACCCATTTTCCACCCATAAGAGAGGGAGTCTTCTTCAGGAAGACCCAAGCTTCTCTTCTGGAATGGAAAGTATAGTTCCACTGGCATATGCCCGTTCAATTCCTTCCATTGGGTAAAATTAAATAGCCTAGATATTTAAACAATTAGCCCTCGAGTCCAGGTTGAGACTGTTCTTGCCATTGACTAGGGTTTCCAAAAGCAGCAATGTGGGACAACTCTTCGTCTGTTCCCTTCCTGGACTCAGTGTGATCGTGCTGACTCTTCCTCACACAGCTGTGGCGCGTGCCCATGAGCAAGTTATGTTCCCTAGACTTCAGCCTCTGCAATACGACAATGATAACAAGGAACGAGACCTCTTCCAGTTGCTATGAGGATGGAAAGGGATGATGTAATATCTGCAGTAGTGTGCCTGACGCATGGGAAGTGGGTGCTCGCTGGTAGCTGCCGTCACTGTCTGTCGTCATCACTGTCATTGTCATCATCGGGTACTCGCCACCACTTTCCCCGTCTCACAGACAAAACTACATGGTCAGGGAGGCAGTCTGCGGGGAAGTGGAGAGGTGCTGTAAAAATATGCCGGGTGCCACCTTGCTAATAATAAGATCCCCAACTTAGATCTCTGTAGGGACCCAGAAATCCCCCAATTTTAAAATTCACAGGGTAGGCTAACACAATAAAACCTATCCACTTATGTGGACGGAACCACAGCAAAAGCCAAAGTCACACCGTGAACCAAATTAGCAAGCACATCATTGGAGAGTGAGTGGGGGTGGGGGGTGGGAGAGGAAAGCTGGAGCCTGGGAAGGAAGGTCTGCTTTTCCATAAACGTCTAGCACATCCCCTACAAGCCCTTCAGCTCCCGTCTTTAGGAGCTTGACAGCTTTTACAGGAGATACACTTTTGTGCCAGCTATTTTCCAGTAGAGTCCCCCAAGGTGTGATTCTCTTCCTGACAATCCCTTTGTAGGAGCGGCCCAGTGTAAGCCAGCCGCAAGGCACTGCCTCTCTAGGACAGTGAGGTGACCCTCCTTCCCCCGAGCGGCTTACTTGTTGCTGTCGCGGTACTCGTAGATGTGACATCCTTGAGGCAATCCGGTCTCGTGATCCAGAGTGAAAGCAAGCTTTAGCTGGAGAGAGAGAGAAGCAAAAAACAATTAAGTCTAGGCAGCATGTTTTATTCATTCTGACAGCTGAAATGAAAAAGAAAAAAAAATCAAGCAAAATCACATTCCCTCCATCTGACATGTCATGGAGATTCGAGGCCTGCCATCTCTGGGAAGAGCCGTGCCTTACGGGACACTGTCATCAGTGAGGGCTGCTGCTGGACTCTACTTAATTCATTTTGCAGGTAACCAATAATTTATTAAGCACTTACTTGGTGCCAGACACTGAGCTAGCCAATGGGGAAAGATCAGTGAAGAGAGGCAGAGAGGGGCCTCCTTCATGGTAGAGAAGACAGATAGATAATCAATCCACACGAATGAGTGAATGAATGAATACAAAGCTTCCAATTAATATAGATTCTCTGAATCAGGAAGAAGACTCCCACATTTCTACAAAAGTAAATAACATGAACTAGACTGGGAATGAGGGAAGGAGGAGGGAGTTAACTAGATTATGGGGGTGGAGGACGGGGAGAAAAGAACATTCTTGCTGGCAGAGAGCACGGCATGTGCAGAGGCCCCGACGCAGGAGTCCAGGCGCTGAAGGGTGGCTGGTGAGCCAGAAGCCAGTAGGCACAGGGGACGTGGTGGGCAGTGATGCTGGTGAGGGAGGCCAGGGCAGGACATGCAGAACCTCGTCGGCCACCTTAGAATTACCTTCATAATTCATAATAAGCCTTTGGTAAGGAATGGGTGGGTGACATGATCAAAATTCAGTTTTAAAGATCCCTCTGGCTACTGTGTAGAGAGCAGGCTGTAGGGTAGGGTGCAGAAGCAGGAGCCCCATAGGGGGTTACCCAGCAGTGCGAGAGAGCACTGATGGGGGCTGGGGCGAAAGGGTCAGGGAGGGGGCCCAAGAGGGAGAGAGAAATGGACCATTTAAGAATCTACCTCAGGGGTGCCTGGGTGGCTTAGTCGGTTAAGCGTCCGACTCCTGATCTCAGCTCAGGTCATGATCTCACAGTTTGGGAGATCGAGCCCCGGGTTGGGCTCTGCACTGACAGCATGGAGCCTGCTGGGATTCTCTCTCTTCCTCTCTCTCTCTGCCCTACCCTGCTCTCTCTCTCCCTGTCTCAAAAATAAATAAATAAATAAATAAACTTAAAAAAAAAAAAAGAAGTTAGTTTCAAGAAGGGGAGTTGACAGGCGATGTAGGATTCTGTGTTGGGGAGGGGTGGGGTTGGAAAAGAAGAGGTCAAGGACAGTTCAAGCTTTTGATTTGAACCATCACTCAGGCAGGTGACTGTTCCATGGCTGAATCTGGGGGTGACTAGGAAGCCACAGGTTTGACTTTGGACATGTTAACTTTGAGGCACTCAGCAGCGTTCTCTGATCAGGGATGACCAGGAACGAGGAGCTGGTAATGAGGACTTGGCTTCTTTCCGGATTCCGGAGGGGAGTGCTCAGGTGCACAGCTCAGTCTGTGTCGCCGGGAAGCCAGAGCTCAGGGCAGTTGTGTGCGTCCTGCTAGAGCCAAGCTGGGATGTGGCGGGTTTAGCATTTTTACGCCTCGAGCCAATTACTAGATTTACAAATTTACTGGGTTTTTAAAGCGCCAGGGAAATTTTAACTAAAACTAACTGCACATTAGGAGGGTACATTATTATAACTTTTTTTTTTTTTTTTTTTTTTTTTTAACTGCAAGGCTGTTAACACAGATCTGCATCATTAGATGCTGGATGATTTTTCTCTTCCTTAGAGGGAAACAAGCTTGTAGGAATGGCCTGTCCTCTTACTGACCCAGATGAAAATACAAAAACAGAAACAAGCCCTTCTTCGCCATCATGAAGCCAGGAACGTCAAGTCAAAGGCATGTTTTCCCTACAGAGCACTGCTTGGATCTTCCCAGCCCTCTTTCAGTAGAACAGAAGTTTAAAAAAAAAAAAATCTATTAACTATACCGTTTTCTCTTTACTTTCCTCTTTGTAGCAGAGGCCAGTCCTATATTCATTTAGTCCATTTCAAAGACTGCACTGCTTAGAAATGCTCAAATTCTTTGATTCAGTGATTTAAGACTGTATGACTTAGAAAAACTATCATAAATATAAGAGGAAAGTTTTTTGTAAAACCGTTCAGTATCATTTACCAGAAAGTCTAAAAGACAAGCAAAAGCAGAGTGGTTAAGTAAATTACACCATATAGTCACGTGCAGAATAGCAGCTGTGAAGAATTCTTATTCATCTGGGAAAATATCTGAAAAAAGCAGGATGCATACTTGATTAAATATCAAGAAAATGATGTAAAAACAGAACAAAGGTCACATAGAAGAAAGACTGGAAGGAAAATGGCAACAGTGTTCCTTTCCTTTCTTTGCATTTTCCAAATTCTTTACGGTAACTATGATGAGACAGAAGCTGTAGTTTTTAGGAATAGTGGGAAATTTCATTCTGGGGGATTCTTGAGGTCAAGAAATTATGTGAATACCAATTTAACACTTAGGTGAGTAAGCAGAGGTGGTGATGAGGAGGGGGAGAAAGGGATGGGATAGGAGAGCGCTCATATTTACTGAATGGAGAACTCCGATTTATTGAATACCTACCAAATAAATGCTCTCCTTTACCCTGACCACAAACATCTGAATTAGGTATTACAATTTCCTTTTTACAGGGGAGGAACTTGAGGCTAAGAAAGGTTAAGTAATTTGTCCAAACCACAATGAGAATTTCAGCTAAAGCCCACGCTCTTTCCACCTCACCAGAATTACAGGACTCAGTAATGGTCTGGATGGAAAGCCTGCCAGAGAGGGAGGTGTCAAAGATAATGTTGAAGGTGCTCTGCCTTGGGCACAGGGCAGATGGTGCTGTTATGCGCTGTGACAAGAAGAATGGCAAGTTTGGAAGGAAAGCTTGAATTCAGTTTGGGAGTGTTGATTTTAAGGTGTCTAAGAGGCATCTCAGTGGAGATGAACAGTAGGCAGCTTGTATAAATAATTCTGAACTTTGTTGGCAAGATTCATCTGGAGATACAAATTCGGAAGCCTCTAAGTAATAACTAAGATGGTGACTAAAGCCATTGGTGTGAATGAGAATGTCCTACGAGAGTATGTAGAGTAAAAATGAGGTCGGTCTTTGATAGAACAGCTGTATTTCAGAGCTGGGCAATGGAGACTAAGAAGGAGTGGCCATGGAGTTCTGAGTTACGGTTTGAGCCCAGAGGGGAACATGCCTTGAGGGAGCGGTCAGCAGCATTAAATCCTTTTAAGAGGTCAAGTAAGAGAGGAGCAAACACACAAAACAAAAAAATCCACTGTATTTAGCAACAAGGACCCTCAGCAGAGTGGTGGGGGCAGAGATCAGGGTGTGATGGGGTGAGAAATGAGTAGAAGGTGAGGAAGTAGGGATCAGGAGTGCATGTGACTCTTTCAGCAAATCGGATGGTGGTGGGCAAGGGTCAAGGTGAAAGGAGTGGAACAGGACAGGACAAAAGGATGAGGGCTTAAAGGAGAGCGTGCTGTTCGAGAGCAGGCTTGCTGAAGTGCACACAGAAAAGACGCACTCCACAGGGAGGGCTCAAAGACAAAGGGGAGATGGAGATCACTAAAATGTCAAGGTGTCTGAGACAACAGGAAGGACTGGAAGCCAACGTCCAAGTGGAAGACCCTTTCTCCACTGTAGCGGTAGGGAAGGCTGGGCAGGGATGCAGGTATATCTGGACTGGGTGGGGTGGGGGAGCTGGATGGGGGATGGTGGTAGTTTAGAATGTTCCAGTCTGATTTTTTGTCTTTTCTGAGAATGAGGAGGTCAAATTGTCCTCAAGGAATGGAGGCTTTGGTGAGGGAAGGAAAAGAGGTTGGAGGCGATCGATGAAGGCTTGAAACCATTTCTTTGGAGAACAGGAAAAACTGTTGACCAGGGAAGAGCACGAGGATTGCCAGGGAGCATTAACGGTCCAGCTGAGGCCACAGGAACTGGAGTTACTGTAGCAACCATCTGCCCAGATGTTGATTTTTTTTTCTAGCAACTTAGACACTGGCATGAAGAAAGGTAGGTTGGTCCAAAGCTGAGCATTTGCCAGGAAGCTTTGAGGGAAGAATAATGGAGCGGGGAGCAGAGATACGATATTGGCAACAGCAGCGCCAGAGACTCTCAGGGGGAACAGGCAAGAAATAAAAATGAAAGGGGCTGATTGGAAGCAAACAGAAAGATCCTGGTGACAGATGTCTTGTATGAAGCTAATATTTATTGAGCGTGTTCTCAGTCCTTAATCCTCTATTGAAACAGCCCTGGGAGGTTGGCTCCTATCCATATGTTACAGAGGAGTTTCAAGTATTTAGCCCAAATTAGCCAGTAAGTCGCAGAGCTAAAGTGTGATCCACGTTGCTAACCGCTGGACAACACTGGCTTCCTGAGTGTCCATGAGGTCAAGGAGAGGAATTGTAAGAGTCAGTGCAAGAGGGAGTGGGGAACACAGGAGACTGCAGTCAGAGAGGAAGCTGCGTCTGACCCTGGAGATGGGCAGTCAATCTCAACATATGAGTTGAAGTCAAGGAATGGAGAGTCGGAGGTTGGGGTGAAAAGGTCCTCTGTGAGAGGTCTGAAATTCACCCAGGACGAGAATACATTTCCCAAACGAATCCACAAAGTGTGTCAACATGGGTGTGTAGGTGTGTTTGTAGGTACCTACTATGTGCAAGGTTCAGTACACAAATGAATGGGTCCAACTGGCCTATGCGGCAGACCTAGGTGCATGTCCGGCAGTCATTTCCTCCTTCCCAGTGATACCCTAGATTTGTTCAGCTCGTTACTCTCCCATTCAGTCCAGGGAATCCAGGGAGAGGTCGATCCAGTTTCCAGGGCTGGGCCTGATGGTTCTAAGCTAATCACATACACCTTTCAGTAACAGATCAGGAACCCAAGCCAATCAGTGCATAGCATTTCCTGGAATTGGAATTCCCTAGGAATTGGCTCAGGAATAGACATGTGACCTAATGGAAGCCAATGAGAGAAGAGGGGATGTTTATGCTG